GCCAGAACCTCATAAGATCCAATAGAAAGGCAATGCCGGGTTATCCATGGGAAAAAGCTTGCTTCGCAATTAAGGCAATGCCTACTAATAAGAATGACAACAGTAATAACAGGAAGGCAATCTAATGTTTATTAATTACTTGAAGAAAATTATTTGTATGTAGGAGCCAGTTTAACTCTTACATGTAGACATGCAGGTCCCTGTTTTACAGACATAAACTGAGGTTCAGATATATGCTCCATTAAAAAAGTAAAAGTAGAGAAAGTACAGTAAGAGAAGGTTACACTGCAATTAGATCTCCTACAGTAGGAGACACTCCACCTCAAAGCGCAACAAATCAGTAGATCCCCAGCGTTGGGAGAATCAAAATTCTTTCAGCAAGATGATTCCCAAGGTGTGCATGAGTTCATCCCCAAGCCAACATACCCTAAGCCTTGTATTCAATCCACTGCCAGTGGATTACAGTTCTGTCTGTGTACGTTGTGTCTTGCCACAGCACATTTGTGCAGTAGTGTTTGGACCCATTTACATTGTTCTTTCTTCACCATCGCTTGTTGTCCTAAACTTGGCAAATGTTTCAGGGAGTAGCTTTCCCTAAGAAGCTCATCTACAGTAATGAAAGGTACCATTTTGCTCCCCTAGTGCTTGGCCACTTCTTTTACAGATTCTGGGGTGGGGGCAGGAATGACTTTAGGCTTGCTTTATTTTAAAAATCTAAGCATCTGACGTTCTCTATAAAATACTTATTGATCCCTTTGGGTTACATAATAAATGGAATCCCTGAAGATCATAACTGAAACCACTGTGTGGTCACCTCATTAATTATTATTGCTGTCAGAATTGTGGTCTCTGGTTATGCTCTTCCTCTATTTGCTTTTCTCTTACTCGTCAGAATGTGAAGACACTGTGTACATGGCTTTGACACTAATTTAAATTGATGAGTGAGCGTGACACTTCCATTTGCCAAGGCAGTGTGTTGTGCATTGCATTTGTGGTTAGTATCCACTTGGCATTGGCAGGAATCTGTGGTCTTTCCACTAGAATGTCATTTGTTCTTTTTATGTCTCGATTCACTAAATGTTATAGAGCATGATGGCTGAGCAAGGGTTTTGCTTCATGAGAACGTCACTAAATGTGCCACAGAGGAGGAAACACCAGATGTTTCTGTGTGGAGTAGTCCGGTAGTCCTAGGCTCCCCAAGATTTTCCAGACCAGTGGTTTGTCTCAGACTCTACTCAGAACTGACCTGCACATTCCATTCCAGTCATCATTCTGGGAAATCTTGTCAATATTACTACTGATCTAAGAACTGGACACTGATGTCCTTTTCTCAATTTCAAATTGAAAATTGAATCAAATGCTGAAGAATTCCGTGGATGACCCTCTCTCTCTAGTTAACTTAATATTCTCTCCTTATCTAAACTCAAATAGTGAATAATTACAATAAATGGGCAACTTACAGTTGGACAACATGTATATTTACTTGTTTGTTTGCCTGGCTGAATGTAGTTAAAGGATAGTTAGTCCATGTATACACATTGAGAAGAGGGAGAAAGAGATTCAAATGACCCCTAAATCCATCTTTGAGGGTTCTGAAGTGAGGTTTTAAATAGAAGACCAAAGATATGAAGATCTAGAAAGTCCTGGCCGAGGTGTGGTCTCAGCCTAGGCTTCATAATGAGACCCTGTCTTGAACAAACAAGGTGGAGTTGCTTGTGCTAGCTCTTCCAAAAATAACAAAAATCAAAAGGTTATGAAAAATGGTTCTTACACATGACTACCTGGCACTAACTAATGTGTTCTCACCTTGTTTCCTATTTGCTGTTTATTATATTTATTTCAGACATATAAATCCATTTAAATCTAACTTAAAATAATATTTGGGGGCTTAGAGACGTGGTTCAGCACCTAAGAACACTTGTTATTCTTGTAGAGCACCAGGGTTAGGTTCCAGCACCTACATGATGAGCCACAGTTGTCCACACTCCAGATCTAAAGGATTCAGTACCCTCTTCTGACCTTTGTGGGCATCAGGCACACATATGATACACATATATACATGTAGGTAAAACATTCATACACATAAAATAAAAATAAGTCTAAATTTTTTGTAATGATATTTTTGTGCTCAGTTTTAAGTGACAGATAATGAAGTAAAATGTATTGTTTTATGACAAGGAATTGGTGATAGTGTGAAGCTAGCCCAAAATATTAATGAGGGTATTAATGCAAATCATAAATGTTTCAATTATGAAGGCAGCAAATAACAAAATGAGCTGATTTAAGACAAGGAATTGGTGATGCTGATGAGACTAGCCTAAAAGATTATTGAGAATATTAATACAAATCATAAATGTTTTAATTATGTAGGCAGCATCTAGACTTAATAATATTGTCAAAAAGATAATTTTTTCTTGCTGCTTATATTGAAATGGATGCTTATCACATTGTTTACTCTGGGAAAACATATTGCCTGCTTTTATTTTAATTACTTGTCACAATCATGTGTGGTAGTAAGTAACCTTCAATAAATGAAAAAAAGTAAAATTTCAAGAGTGAACAGAATCTTTGAAAACTAATAGATAAAGAATTTAAAATATTATAATAACAGTTTAAAATTGATTGATTCACCAGAAAAATCCAAATCTTCATTTTAGTATTTTCAATGATAATGCCCAGATAACCTCAGAATACCACCCCCCCCCAAAAGATCTACCTCTATTAGAATTTCATGCTCGATGGAGAGAGAACCTTAACTCTATCTGCTAGATGTTCGATTTCTTGCAACAGGCAGGATGGCTGCTTCTTACCAGCTGAAAAAAAAAGAAGAGGACATGAAAAGCTACCTCAAGGAGCAGGTGGCTTAAATTTAGTCACAAGCTCTGAATTTTGGAGGGATGGGTGTGAGTCGGCTCACTGCCCACTTCATCTTTGTTTTCTCTCTTTTCCCTGTGTTTCATGAGAGAGAGAGAGAGTTCTCAGTGTGTGGCCTTCTATTAGGCACTAAGACAATATTATCAGTTGTCTCAGAGAATACAGGAAAAACAAACACAATGTGTCTGACTACAGTCTTGAAAACAGAATGCCTGGGAGCTCTTTGATCACCAAAATGCTATGTGAGAATACCTTTGGCTAATACTGAGGTGAGAGGGACCATCCTTGATACAATTCAATTCTCACACTGCCTACCTGCAGGTACTTTCACATGCCATAGACTGACAGCTTAGTTCCACAAAACTGTCTTTCACTTCAGATAACAAACGTATGCAAAATACTGTACTTCTGAAAGATGTCTTATCTAGAAATTATAGATAAGCAATAATTTTGAAAGTTTTTTTCAGCTAAAACAATATAATCTCCATAACTCATATATTAAATTTGATGAACTAGCACACAGAACTCAGAAATGCACTAATTTAAATTATTTTAGTTCACTACACAAAGGATACAGATGATGAGATGTTGTGTTAATAAGCTTATGCTACTGTAACAAATATCTGAAACAATCAACTTACAAAGAGAAAAGGTTTATTTTGAGTCACAGGTTTGGAGTATTCTGGAGTTTTCAAACCATGATTAGTTTGTCCCACTACTTTTGCGCCTGTGAAATGGGGGACAGTAGAGCAGCAGCATGTGGAGAAACCACTTTACGTCAGGTCTGGGAAAGGGCTAAGGGCCCAGTAGCCATTCTAAAAACCATTGTTCCCCCAATAACGGGAAGACCTTCCACTCACCCTCATCTCTTGAATTCCTCCCACCTCTAACTAGTGTGAGGCTAAGGAACAAAGCTTTAACACATGGCCCCTTGGAGGACATTACACATTCAAATCATAGCATGTGAAGAACATGAGGTATGAAATGGAGTTAAGCCTTCGTGCCCTCTAAGCATCTCCAGGTTATCAGCTAACTGAAAACTTCCTGAATTCATACCTTTCATTTTTGTGAACGATGCATTCTTTGGCTACATTTATTAAACCACTGGCCATTGGTAATAAACTTAACCATTAGATCCTCCCTCCTCTCCAGAGGCTTTGGATAACACTGACAAAAAAAAAAAAAAAAAAAAAAATCCCAGTTCTGTAACAATGCATTGATTTTTTTCTGTGCCAGCTTCCATCCTAAGGAAGGAAGTCCCAGCCACTAGTCAACTCATTAGTCTATGAAAAGACTCTGAGTATTATACTCGCTCTGAGCATTACAAATACTTTAAGAATTTATATGTTAAAATGCAGTAAGAAGACAAAATGTTGACTTAGCAGTATAACACACGGCTTCCCTTGCTTTCATTCAAATCTCAGTACTTGTGCACTGATAGTAACAAAAGATTATCTATCCAGTCCTGTTTTACGCTGTTTTTCACCAAAACCAAATAGCAGATTACTTTTGTTGTAGCTGGGGTATTTGCAAAGGAACCCAATTGGAAAGACAACCTACCTGCTTGCTTTCCATCTTTGCCTGCTTCCCATGCAGCCTGCTCCTACTGCATTATAATGACCAACTTACTGCCTATGTTTTCCATAAAAAAAAAAGTTGAACTTTACACTTCCCCCTTACTTTCCCTATGCCTAGGAATGTTGTCCAAAAATAACCTTTTTTTTTTAAATTCTATGTGGTTTTTGCATTTTTTAAAAAAGAAACTTGGTACTCCCTTTCATATGTACAAGGGAAACTTGAGTTTGGACTCAAATGATAGAGGGTGAAATTGTTATCATTGTTCTCTACTGTGTCTGGGCATGAGACCAGAGGTAATGACAACCAAAAGACTTCCATTTGCTCTGTCTTTACAGGCTCCTCTTAGTGCACATATACAGTTTTAATTTTAGTGTGTGTGTGTGTGTGTGTGTGGTGTGTGTACAGTTTTTTGTTGCTTTTTTGTTGTTGTTGTTGTTGTTGTTGTTTTTGCATGGGAGCCTATTATCCAAAAATGTTGCTGTAACAGGGTCACAGCAGATCATTTTTCTACAGGGATGACTAATGATTTTCTTTTCTTTCTTTTCCAGTTACACCAGCTATTATTGGCAAAACTCCACCGATCCTACAAAAATTTAATCCAAGCCTGGAGAAAAGTAAGAACTTCTGTCATTTTACTAACTCACGCTGATGATTTCCATGTGTTAGTATAATTCAGGCTACCTCCTTTCTTTATTTGGGATACTAGTAACAGAAAAAGTGACAGAATTAAAATTTTATAAGAGAAAAGTGTTGTGTTTTTCCGGATTTACTTCTAATTTTTTTTTCTGTGTAGAGCTATTTCTTTGTTTTGTTTATGCTTGCAGGTTAAGTGTGGTCAAGCCTATAAAAAGAAAGGATTTATTATAGATCAACAGTAATTTGTTGAATTTAGAAAATTGCTTCATTTTACAAAGCCTTTTTTAACATTATTATTGTCGTTATTTGCAAGTGTTTATATAATGCTTGCATTATAGAAAACAGAATTTATATCTCTACTTCATTTCCTTTTACCTCAAAACTCTGCCTTCACATAAGCTATTATTCTCTTTTACATCATGTCACACATCCCTCTGATGTCTTTTGATTATCTTCTCTTTGACCACAAGACTGAACTCATAGAAAAGGCTCCACAAATCCTCTAGGGTTAGTTTTCTATGGAACACTGTCCACTGTTCCACAATAACATTTACCTCCTGGACTTTTTATTGTTTGTGTATTTGTGTGTCTGTGTGGCCACTTTTATCAGTAGTACAGCCACTGCTAAGTGGGGGTACTGGCACCCAAAGTTCTCAATCCCAATCCTAATATCTTAGTGTGCACATAAGTGATGTGTACACAATACAATGGGCTGAATGAACTACATGAATTAATTTTAATGAGCTTTTAAGTCAACAATGATGTTTTATGCTGTTTTTACCTCCTTTACATCACCTAAAATCTCTTAGTAGGAGCTTATTTAATTACATTGTAGAGATAGATTTTTTTTATTTGAAAAAGTATATGCTAGACTCCATTTCATGCATACACACAGAGAAAAAGCAAAAACAGAAAGGGAAAAGGGTGTACCTAGTTCATTTTAGCTGTTGCTCTTATTATTTGTAATGACAGTATCATAATTTGCATTTTATGAGTGCACCGCACAGTAAATTTGTAACATGAAGTTTAAATATCATTCCTTTGGAAGTGACACAAATTATAAATTGATAACCCTTTCAGAAAATGTCAGCAATTTGTCATTTGTGCCAGACAGCAAACCCTTTACAACTTTCCTGTTTTAGAAGGATCAAACATGTCCATCTGTTCCCTAAAACACATGAGAGGTTGTAGAAGTGCACGACAGTTTAGGTTATGTTTGGGTTATTGAGCAGCTTTTTATTTGGTAGATGGTATCACCTATTGTTTTCTGTAAGAAGTCAGGACAGAGTAGTTAACAATGTTCACTGAGCTGGGTGTGGTGGCACATGCCTGTAATCCCAGTACTCAGGAAGGCAGAGGCAGGCAGATCGATTTTGAGTTTGAGGCTAGTCTGGTCTAGAAAGCGAGTCCAGGACAGCCAGGGCTACACAGAGAAACCCTGTCTTGAAAAAAAAAAAAAACCAAACAAAAAATGTTTACTGATGGTAAAGAAGTACAACACTACTTTGTTCTCCCTTCAACTGACAAGTATGATTTCCCCAACCCATTTCCTTTATCAACTCACAAGGTCTGAGGAACTTACCTAACATTGTGTCTTGTCAAAATTCAAGGTTTAATTGTGACTTATGTGTACCTATCATTTTGTGCTGAATAGGAAAACTGAATAATTATTGTTCAGATCTTGTGAATCGAACATTTTTCTCATCTTTTCTAGGTTTTCTTTTCAAACATTATCTCCCTTTTAACCTAGACATGATTTGACAAAGCAAGCCTTGTGCTAGACAATGCTTAGATCAGAACAGGAACAGCTCATTTGGGATGGATAGACCCAAATGCTCAAATCACCTTACAATACCATAAACACTTAAGTGTGCTTTGAACAGGGTGCTGCTATGAACATGATGTTCACAGCGTGTGAAAACACTAGCCTGATTCTAGCAAGGACCTCATTTTTTTTTCCTAATGAAGTAGTTTTACCTGTAAAGCTAGTGTTCAACATAAAATACACTAAGAACACACAATTAATAACCCTATATCCATTTATAAACACTCAAACTGAAAAGAATACCCTGTGAGAGGAAATTAAAATAAAAACTTTTTCAGAGATTTGATGAACTTTAAGCCAAACACATAAGATATACAGAAGGAAGGTTTTACATGACTATGTGTCCTTCAGAGGAAATATTCCCTCTCATTTAATAAGGCCATCTTTTAAATAAATTCTCATTCTCTGACACCTCACAAGCATCTGTAGAGGCTAACTAATTTCTCACAGGTGTAGCTGGAAGAGTATCTCTAAGGTGACCCCAGATCTTGTTGAGTTGACAGTGACTAGAATCACACTAAATGCTCAAGAGATTCTGCAGCAGTAATCTTACCATCTTTTCTATCCAGTCCAGTGTGCCCCAGTGTATGTATGGGTATATACATATTTATATGGTTTATACATATATATGTTATGCATATATATGGTAAATAAATATATATGAGAATTTATTGATCTAGATACTGAATAGTCCAACAATGGCCATCTGCATGTTATACAATCAAAAAAATCCCTTGGCTATTCAGTTCAAGTAGTTGGAACCAATACACAATCCCAGTCTGAGATGAAGGGCTACCTCAAGAGTCTATCACTGACATAAATCCACATCAAATGGCTGAGGAAGGTGGAAGTGATGCCCATAGCAGACTATAACAACAACAGGCATCACTGTTTTCTTTTGCCTTCCAGATTTGCTCCACTGGGGCCCCCAGCCTATGGAAAGTGTTACCCACTTTCAGGAAAGTTCCTTCTTCCCTATCTGCTGTCACACATCTCAGTCTTCTCTAGAGACACATTAATATACCCACACAAAAAGGATCACAATGAACCACTTCAGCCTCTTTTCATTGCTAAATCACCTTTACAGAATTCATCTCTTCCTCATATGAAACAGTCCATCATGGAATTTCTTTGTTTTTAGGCATGTTTTTAAATATTACTGTATAAAAAAAACTTTTTATGATCTTCCCAAGAAGATATGTGCTTTATGTTGGAATCTCAATGACTCTTTCTCAAAGAGAAATTGCATAATGCAGTGGTTTACAGTCTCCATGTGGGGCCCAGAGTAAGGGGAAGGGGGGCTGGAAGGCTGCCTCTGTCATGAACTTGGTTACCTGTTCTTTGATCACTTCTCCATGGCAATGCAGCCTTGCCAGGCCACAGAGGAAGAGGATTCAGGCAGTCCTGATGAGAGCTGATAGGATAGGATCAGACAGTAGGGGAGAAGGACTTCCCCTATCAGTGGATTAGGGAAGAGGGATAAGGGAGAAAGAAGGAGGGAGGGTGAAACTTGGAGGAGACGAGGGAGGGGGATACAACCAGGATACAAAATGAATAAATTGTAAAAAGAAGGGGGAAAAGAATTCACTCCCTGAGGCAGACAGCATGACTTTACGGCCCTGCTCTATGGCTTACATCTTACATGACAATGTCTATTCATTACTTCCTTATGCCTCGTACCTCTTTATATGCATTATAATGACATTTTATTTTTAATGTATTGTGTGAGAATTTTGTACATGAATATAATGTGTTTAATCTAATCCATTCTCTACTTCCACCCCTCTAACTTGTCTTGTACTTTCCCAACCACCAGTCTTTTCCGGCCCCTTCATATATTCTCTCTTAAACTCCCTGAATCCTCTTACTACTGCCAGTTTATGCATGGCTGTAGTTCAGCCACTGGACCGTGGGCAGTCTATCAGGGAGGCATCCAAAGAAAACTAACTCTCCCTTTAGCAGCAGGATCAGTTGCCAGATGCTCCTCCGATAGGGCAGGACTTCCTGAGTCCCTCCCCAACCCATGCTGGCATTGTGTCTGCCCTGATCTTGTCTAGGTCTTGTGCATGCAGCCACAAATGCTATGATTTCTCGTATACAACACCCATGGCATGTCTATCCAATAAAAACTGTTCCCGGCTATCATCCACTCCCTCAGGCTCTGACAATCTTTCCAGCCCCTTTTCTGCCGTGGTCTTTGATTCTTGGGAGGTAGGGATGTGATATAGATGTCTCATTTAAAGCTGAGCACTTGAGAGTCTTTTATTCTCTGTGAGTTGGTTAGTGGTGGAGCTCTGTATTAATTGCCATCTATTGTGAAGAAAGGAGATTATCCAAAAAGGCTTGAGAGCTGCAGTAATCTATAAATATAAAGACAAGTATTTATGCTGCAGTTTGATTCCATGTCCACTTAACAGAAATTCCTCTAGAGGTGTTAACAATAGCTACTTCATAAAGTTCTTACAAAGATTATATTTAAGCAGACAAACTTAGCCCCATTCTAAATTTACATGGTATGTATTGCACACTCTTGTGGCTCTCATTTTAGTCCAACATATATTAGGCTGAATAGTGTGCAGCTACCTCTACTCAACTCTATTATATGTCATAAAATCATCATTGGTTCAGCCTCATGCAAACTTTTGTGCATTTTCTGTCCCCTACTAAACTATACAGTGTTTAAGATTTAGGACTGTATCTTATAAATCCTTGTATCTCATAGTTCTTGGTAAGTGCCGAGGACATTCTGAGTTTTTAATGACTAGCCAAGTTTTGTGTTTCCCGAAATGCAGGGAAGAGCTCCCCCAACACTTAAATCCTCTCACTACTTCATTTTCCTTTGAGTCCTTCATTGATCATTCATAAAAAGGAAGGAATTAACATAGAGAAAGGTAGACATTTCTCTCATCCATTGCGGAACATACTTAGGATCTCTCCTAAAAGCCTTTAGCTGAGCTTTAACATCCAGACGCAGAGTTAGAGTCATAGTGTTGGCATATAGTGTAGAAAATCTCTATGGAAATGATTTCTTTGTACCCTGACAGCACTTCCGCTGCCAAGGGTAAGGAAGCCCTACTCCTTGCACAGCCCATCAGTGCTTCAACAGAAGCTGAACCACCCTGTCAACCTGAAGCATTCTTTTCTAACTAAATA